AAATCAAATCTCAGATGTAGAAGACAGAATCGCTGGCCTAGAAAAATCCACCAAAGACAGAAAATTGCTTCCCAAAATGAGAATAATATATGAAAAATACTAGATACCATCAGATGTCCTAACATCTGGAGAATTGGTATCCCAGAAGGCAGAGACTCATAAAGGCATTGATAATCTACTCCATGAAATCTTGGAAGAAAACTTTCCAAACCTAGAGAGGCATTCAAAGATCCAGTCTCAAGAAATACAATGGACCCCAAATAGAATCAACCCAAGAAGATCTTATCCAAGACATTTATAGCCAGACTGACCAAAACCACAAAGACAAGATACTCAGACTGGCAAGAGAGAAATGACAAGTTACCTACAAAGAATATCCCATCAGGCTAACAGCGGACCTCTCATCTGAAACAATACAAGAAAAGAAAGAATGGGAAAATATATTCAAAGTGTTGAGTGAAGAACAATTTCAACTAAGAATACTATACCCAGCAAGATTATCCTTCATATGGGAAGAGAAGACAAGAACATTCTCAGATAAACAAAACCTGAAAGAATTTACCAACACCAGACCAGATCTCCAAGAAGTTCTCAAGGGAGTGCTATACCAGGAAAATTAAATACAGACACTTTTGACTAAAACATTGCTGATTTTCTTCTAGGCCTTGTTTTCCGGTTTTAAGGATTTTTGTCCTGTGTTGAGCTGCCAATAGGTTCATGTACCTACTATTTGAACAGAATCCTAATCTGTCTCCTGGCTTTAAGTTTTAAGCAAAGTTCCTTAGGATTTCTTTGATTTATTAAAATTAAAACTGCTTTTCCTTAAATTAAAAAATATATTAAAAATACCTATTTAATAACAGTAGTAAGCTAGATAGCATCAGCTAGGTGCTACCTTCTAGTATATTCATTCTACTCAGTTTCACGCCTAAAGTCAGACATGTATTCACAGATATGTATATACCAGCTGAACTTGCTATTGAAAATAGATTATTTAAGAAATTTTGTGAGTCAATAAAATGGGGAAGGTGGAGGAATGGAAAACAATTATATACACCTTAGATAGTGTGGGAGGAAAGTGGGAAGTGGCAGAAGGTGAGAAATAGGGTTAAATTTGTCCATATTTTTAGTTTAAGGTATTTTGTGAATCAATAAAATGTGGGGGAAAAGTTTGGTATAGAAGCGAGAGAAGGAAAAAACAAGTAAAAGAATGCTTAATTGACAAAAAAATGAGAAGCTATTTGCTGCTAAGTTAGAGTAGTTACTTTGGCTTGACTGACATGTATAGTATTTGTGTTGGAAAAAGAAATGTTGTACACTGTAAAGATCTGATTAAATGTAAATAATTTTTTAAAAAGCACACCCGTGTATGTGTATTATTTTTTTTGCTCATACTCTAGCATTGTTAACAGTTGTTAATAAACAACTTTCAAAATTAAAAAAAAAGAAACCAAGCAATGAAAAAAATTAGATACATTTGCTTTACATCAACTAAAAGGTCTATTTAGTCAGCATAAGACCTAAGTTATATGGTTCTTTTTGTTTAATTTTGAGAGGGAATGTGTGCTCGCCAAAGATGGAGAGAGGTAGGGAAAAATGAGAAAGTATTCCCTATGGAGGATGGTCATACCATAATCCCTTAATTCCTCACTTCCTCTTAGGATTTTGGATGCACATGCACACTTGCCCAGCATGTTTTACAAGCAGTGGGGTCCAGGATTTGAACTGCACAGCCAGCCATCCTAAGCACCAGCTGGCCCAGTTATGTGGTTCTATTTTTAGTTTGTTGAATGTTCTATCATGTAGGGCTGTTGGATCTGTCACATGATTTTTCTGTATCTATTGTGATGATCATGTGTGTTTGCCATTTAATAACATGGTGACTTACATGCTTTGATTTCATGTTAAACTAACCTTGCATTCCTGTGATAATTCTGGATTATTCATGTGAATGATCTTTTTCTTTTTTTAAAGTTTATATAAGGTGGAAAAGAGAGAATCACACACACACACACACACACACACACACACACACACACGCCCCAAGGGCTGGTTACTGCATCAATCCCTTCTCCTTCATTCACCTCTTGGGATTTGGGGCATGTACACATACAAACCCAGCATTCTTTTCAAGCTGCCATGTCCGGAACTTGAACTCTGCAGTCAGCGATGCAGGATCCAACTGCCTTAACCACCATGACACCTGGCAGGCCCAAATGATCCTTTTTAAGTATTGATGGTTTGTTCTGCTATTGTCGAGTTGTTTTTTTTTTTTTTCAATCAATATTCATATGAAGTATTGGCCTGTAGTTTTCTTGTGATGTATTTGTCTAGTTTTGTTATCAGAATAATTTTGGCTTCATAGTTAGGAAGCATTCTGTCTTCTATTTTTTTGGAATAGTTTGCGAAGATCTAGTGTTAATTCTTTAAACATTTGATAAAATTTACCAGTGAAGCCATCTGCTCAGGTCTGAATCCCTCCCAAATTCGAAATTGAAACTTAATTTCCATTGCAACAGTATATTACATTATAGCAGCATTTCTCAAGAAATGTGTACTTCACTGTCACTGAGTGGAATATTCTAGAGATATGTTAGGTCTAATATGATTATATTGTTTATGATGGTTTGAACTTGTCCTCCAAAATTCATGTGTTGGAAACTTAATCCCTAATGCAACAGTGTTGAGAGGTGAGACCTTTAGGAGGTGATCAGGTAATGAGAACTCTCCCCTCTTGAATGGACTGATATTATTTCTGGAGTGGGTCTGTAATTAAAAATGTAGATTTCTTATCAAAGTGAGTTCAATCCTCCCTTGTTTGCTCACTTGTTTGGTCTTCTTCTCTTTC